GCCTATTCCATACTGCAGTAAAAAAGGACTCTATACAAATAGCCAAAACCCAACCAACCCCAAATTTGTAAAGCACCATTATTTTTTTGATGATATGATATAAAAAGTGTAGATTTACGGAACAAACAAAAATAAAAATAAATAAATAAAAAACTTACCATACCACCAAAAAAAAACATGAAAACACAATAAATTAAAATTCTAATAGAAACATAAAAAAAAATTTCATAAATTTATTTTAAGAAATAAAGCCAAATAGGTATTATTATCAGAAAGCAGTATACCTCATTAGAAAAATTTTTTTAATCAACAAAACAACAATAGCCTTAAAGGGATCCCAAACTCCCAACACATGTTGTCTTCATATTAAAGATAATGTTAAAAAAAAAGGTTTGAAACAAGTTTTTTTTGATTAAAAATAAATAATGAATGCATACAGAGAAAAACTAATGTTGTTGTTTTAGCCGAAGCTCGCTTTCTCCATTTTTTTCAATAACTCGGAGTCTTTAAATTATATGTCACAATCTACAGACTTTGGCAATTCCTTTGAAGCGCGTTTAATTCATAAAAGTTTTAGTATTTGACGTCACGGTAGACTTTTAACAAATGAAAAGTGTAATTACACAAAGCATCGTTTTTCTATTTTAATTTAAAAAGTACGATGTAGTATTTTTTTAACATACAGCAAAACAAATTTATTTGTATTATTTTTCGAAACATCGCAAAAAATTTTTTGTAAAAAGTAAAAACAATAAATTATTTTTATTTTATAAAAGCAACTTATTTTTTACAGATATCTTAATAATTTTTAGATTTATATATCTTACTTATATTTCTATTGTTTTAAAATTAAAACAAATATTAAAACTTTACATACCAATCTTATGATTTTCATACAAGTATTTTACATTGTATAGAACATTTTATATACGGTCTCTTGTTTTTGTGCAAGAGAGCGCAGTATTATTTATTCTGACTCATACTTATTTTTATTTAAACAATGGGAACTATTTTCTAACTTCCCTAGTTATTTTTACGCTATGACAATTTTTTGTTTTTCCATCGAAAAAAAGTATTTATTAACAATTGCTTTAATAAACTGACAGTATTAATTTAGAGATACTTGATGAATTATTAACTTTTTTTATAATAAAATCTTTTTGATTACGCTGATTTAATTTAAATTGCTAAATTTGCTGAATTGGATACGGATAAAAAGGAAATATCATTTTATTTTACATTTGATTTTTGATAATGAAATTTTTAAAATGTCAGCAATTAGAACCTGTAATACTAATTAGAACCTGTTAAGGTTATGAAAAAAAAGTACAAGAATACACTAAACAATACAGTTGACAGTAGTCACAGATATAAAAATTCGTGAAAGGATATGTGAGATCCCAGTGCCAGATCAAGGGGGGGGGAGGGAGGGCTAGGGGGATTATAGCCCCAGGCCCTGCAAATTTAGGGGCCTCCAAATATTTTATAGCACTTTTTTTTTTTTTTAAAAGTCATTTTTAGGCTCTGGCCCATAAAAAGGCCTCCAAAAACAAAAATAGCCCCGGGCCCCAAGAAGTCTTAATCCGCTACATTGAGATCCTGATTTTGCATTAAAAGTACAATTAATAGCAACAAAGGTCGGCGTTATAAATTTTGATTATAAGTTTACTGTTCAATATTTTATAACCATCACATTAAAAACATTAAGTTCATATATTTTCACCCGTTTTATACAACTAGTATTTAACAAAAATATGGACAAATTATTATTAAATAACGCAATAATTAACACATTAACTAATGGCAATAATTCAAGATAGATGGTAATTTAAATTGTCAAAATTACATAACGTGCATTAATTTGGTATTTCCCAATTTGTGTTGTATTTATCAATTATCTCTTAACATGAAAAATTTTAAATTTTAAAAACACAATTTACAAATAAAAATTTCAAGCAATTTTCTCTTCCAATTCTCATTTATTCAAAGAAAAGTTACTATTAACTTTTATTTCTCTCATCTAAAAAAAGAACGAGTGACGCAAAAAAAAAAATATATTCTATACAACTCTTATTCATTAAAAGTTTAACTATACGCAAAATTTTTCTTTCTCTTTTGTACTTCTCTTTTGTAAAAAGAGCACGCAATGAAATAAAAACTTTTCTTTTTTAACATAAAATTATAAAATCCTTTGAGATAAAATTAAATTAAAAATAAATCACCAATGAGCAAAGCAACTAACAGAATAATCTGCCACTATTTTGATATTAATGAAAATAATCAACGTAAACAACATTACCAACAAATGAACAACACAATATCGCATAATTTTAGGGGCGTTTTGTTTTTATTGCTTAGTTGCTCTAAATAATAAATAAATTTAGTTTAAGTTAATATTTTAATATTTACAGTTACAATATAATAAAGAAATGATGTTTAATGTTGAACTTTTTATTTAGTTATTTATTTTTTACCGACATTTGTTATAAAAAACTTTAGAACCCCCGTCAGTAAAATAATTGGTTTTAAATATATTTTGACGTGATTATTCAAACTAATTTTTTCATTTGACTTTACGAACTTCACGCAAAGCAAATTGAAACAAAATATCGTCTAACCAAATAAAAATACTGTTACTAATTTTATACGGGTAATTAATGTAAAACAATTTTTTCTCAGAGTCTTGATTGAATTAATAAATATTCATAATTTATAAACATTAAATACATGGCGCAATAACATTTTATAGCAACGAACCAGCATAAAATATTTGAGGTTTTTAATATCTTTTTAAATATTAACAATAGAAAAAAAAAACTAAACAAATCAAAAAAATTTCAAATAAAAATAAATTAAGAATTTCATTTGTTAAAAGTCTACCGTGATGTCAAGTACTAAAACTTTTATGAATAAATGCGCTTCAAAGGAATTGCCAAAATCTGTAGATTGCGACATATAATTTAAAGACTCCGAGTTATTGAGAAAAATGGAGAAGACGAGCTTCGGCTAAAACAACAATATTAGTTTTTCTCGGTATGCGTTCATTATTTATTTTTAATCAAAAAAACTTGGTTCAAACCTTTTTTTTTAACAATATCTTTAATATGAACACAACATGTGTTGGGAGTTTGGGATCCCTTTAAATAAACTCTAACGCTGTCATAGATACCTTATTTGAAATATGACAACCAATCAAAAGTGTAGGAAAATGAGCAGCCCGCGAAATCCAAAATCATAACAATTGGATAATATATGATAGCAAAAAAGAACGTTGCACAAAAACCTTAAAAATGTAAGCAGCATATATGTATACATTTAATGAAGGATATAAAAATATTATCTGAATAATAATAAAGATGAAAAATGTGCATGTGAAAATTAAAACAAAGCTGAGCAATGAATGCAAAAAAAAGTAATAATATGAAAATCAGGAGATAAATAATATATCAACAAACACTGCAACAAGACTAACTAAATATTGCAATAAAACCAGATAATTTTAAGCCAAATGAGTGGTTGAAAAAACTAGCTGTGGATAATATAACAACGATATAAGTCGTAATGTAAAAACGATGTACAAAGCAGGAAAAAAAATTATTAAAAAGTGAAGTTTTCTCTACGGTCCGAGAACTAAAAGAAACTTTGAGACCATATCTAAATCAAAATTTCCGAAATGTAATATTTTCTCTTAGGTCCGAATTAAAAGTAATTTTGAGACCATATCTAAATCGAAATTTCTGAAAAGTAAAGTTTTCTCTACGGTCCGAATTAAATGTAATTTTGAGACCATAACAAAATAATAAGGAAACACATACATCATAAAGACATGTCGAAAGCTGCTAGTTTATAAGAATCGCTCTTATAAACTAGCGGCTTTAGAACCTACGCATGGATTTAGAACACCTACGCATGGATTTAGAACTGACTTATGACTAAAAAGCTAGCCCATAGTCGTGCTCGATGACCGTAACACTAACCCTTACAGGCTAGGCCCAATATTATTTAAAATCTTTGGCATATAAAATTCAATGTTAGTCGTTTATCAAAATGTTTATTTCAATTATTAAAGAATATTGTATATAAAATAACTCATATTTTATTTATAAAGTATGTATTTTTTATAACGAATAACTTTGATATTTCAAAATAACTTATTTAAATGTTTATATGTGTTATGTGAAATGCTTTTAAATAATAACAAATTAATTTAAATGATCTCCTTATATCGTAGTCGTAAGAGACTTTTAAGGTATAAAAAGTCTCTTTCGACTACAATTTTCATTACCTCTACTCTAAAGCTGTATTTTATTATCGCCGAAATGTCAAAGCAATTAAATCAATGCGGAAGTACATTAAAATTTATTGTTTTTTTAAAAAACTGCAATAATAATGACTAGAAAGTTTTTTTTAATTAATGGTGCTGTTGTTGTTTTATTAAAATATATTTTTAAAACATGCGCAGAGCGTTGTTACATCGACGTTACAGAGCGTTGTTACATCTTATAGCCTGCTGCTACAAGGAGGTGTTGCTACATCGTTAATATATATATTAATATATATATATATATATATATATATATATATATATATATATATATATATATATATATATATATATATATATATATATATATATATATATATATATAATATATATATATATATATATATATATATATATATATATATATATATATATATATATATATATATACATACATATATATATATATATATATATATATATATATATATATATATATATATATATATATATATATATATATATATATATATATATATATATATATATATATGTATATATATATTAACAATTAAACCTAAGCGGGTCTGATTTTATTTTAAAACCAAAGTACCATTTCATCAATTGTCTGGCATACTAAACCATTGATAACTATTGATGGTCTAGCAACTTTTACACTAAAAGTTTTAATAATGATATTACAAGTAGAATTTCTAATTTATTTATAAAATCTTACCTGCTGATGTTGTTTTTGCAATGAATTAACAATAGTTTGCATTTGTTCTGTAACTACTTGATGATATGCAACCACATGAGTTAAATGAGCAGAGGGTTCGCCCAGCCAGACCTCTTCATCCTCTTCAGTCGCATGCTTTTCATTAGAAACAATTTGGCATTCAAAATCATTTAGTAAATTAGATAAAGGTAATGCTGTACCAACTTCACCTGACTAAAATTATTTTAAAAAAGACTTTGTTTTCATTTTTCAACCTTTTCTGAACCTTATAACTCCAAAACAAAACAAAAAACAAACAAGGTTGCTAAAAAATAAGTTGGTACATACATACATAACATACATACATACATACATACATACATACATACATACATACATACATACATACATACATACATACATACATACATACATACATACATACATACATTACATACATACATACATTTTGTGAGAAAGTTGCCATTCATTAATATATGAATGTCAACAGTATTGTGATAATAACTGAGTTTTAAATTCACAAGCCACTGCAACCTCCAAGCTGTTACAGAAATGAGATCAGATTTGAGATAGAATGCCTGTTCTAAGAGATGAAAAAGAGAAGACTTTTTGCCAACACAGGAGTATAAAGTTGAGTCTTTAGCAAATAGAGCCACTTTAGATGTAAGATTGTCAGATAAATCATTAATGTGGATATAAAACAATACAAAACCAAGCATAGAAATTTGCGAGATTGGAATATAGGAGAACACCTGTGAAACAACAAAACACCTACTGTTTTTTGTGATTTTAGAAGGCATAAACATAATAAACAGCATAAACATACCACTGTGTCAAACCAAACCAAACATAGATTGATTGATTATATGTAAAAAAATTAATTGACTTTGTTGACCCAAGATTCCATTAAACATAAATTCAAATTATGGCTCATCCAAATAGAATTTAAAGAAGTTGAAAGACAAAACTATATTTTAAATAGAAAGGTAAAGCTATCAGTAAATTTGTAGAAACTCCCTGGTTTAAATGGTCATCGTCAAGTTAAAAATATGGAAAGAAAAATTTGTCAAGAAGATGACAACTGCTATTGTGCTATTTGTAGTAGAATCAGTCAGTGTACTAGAATGTGTACTTAATCTTTCTGAATTCATCTATAAAGATACTGAAAAAAAAAAATCCATTAAAAAAAAAATCATTTTAATCAGAATGCTGTGAAATAGTTGGTCCTGGTATTTATAACCATTGCAACAAAAAAATAATTGTTCAAAAGCCTTAATTACTTCAAATGATCCACTTGTTGCTGACAGAGCTGTTTATTGTATGAAAAAAAAAAAAAAATTAATAATAAACCTGATGCTTGAGACAGTACTAATATGAAACTTGAAACAGGTAGAAACAGTCTTCTTGTTAAAGTGTACAGAGATCAATCACCTGTATAGTATAAGGATTGAAATCATCAGGAACTTGTAGATAAATCATGATTTTCCAAAATATGTGGCGTAAAGGTATAATAAAGGAAATAAGACAAGCTATTGCGAGACCTGGAATATAGGAGAACACCTGTGAAACAACAAAACACCTACTGTTTTTTGTGATTTTAGAAGGCATAAACATAATAAACAGCATAAACATACCACTGTGTCAAACCAAACCAAACATATGTCAGCTACTCATTAGCATAGAAATCTTAAGCAAATCCTCCAAATGCAAGAAGGCAATTTATATTTTTTACATTTGCAAAATATTAAAATTAACAGTTTGATAAATTGGAACTTCAAGAATTCAAAACAATTAAAAATATTTGAATAATAAGCAATCTATTAAATATACTGAGTAATACTTACTAAAATAGCCTTCAAGAGTATATCTTTGGCTTGTAGTTCAGCTTCCATTAAACATAGTAGCTCAATGAAATCTGCTTGGCTAAATTCAGAAAACTACAAACAAAAAAACAAAAACAAAACAAAAAAAAAACATTTAAAATAAAGATTTGAATAATCTTAATAACTTAAATTTAACAAATTATTCAAAACTAAATAAGTTTTATATTATAAAAGTTCTATATAATTATTGTTAAAAGTACTTAATATTAATCTATTATATATTATTGCCAAACTTAATAGTTTTAATAGTAGTAGTGTCCCTTAGAGCGTTTCAAGTTTATTTACAACTAAGTTGAGTTCGTACAAGGAAAATTAGTATATAACATGTTTATATATAGAATATAAAATCTATAGAACTATAAAGTTTTTTGATTTGCATTTTAAGCAAGCTGAGGAACTTGCCACGCGGCGACCTTAACTTTTTTAAAATGGTAAGGGGGTTTAAAAAGTATGTTTTTATTAAGAACATAATTTAAAAATTTAATATTAAATTTAAACTAAATTATTTCATAAAATTTATTGTTTTTAAAAATAATTAGAAGTTAAAACTATTTAATATTAACATAATAAGAAAATTTAGCATTTACAGTTATTTAACAACGCCCCTGTTAAACATTCTAATCTGAGAGCGCATCAATAACTTTGATGACATAATTAACATGTGATGCACAAGGCACTGTAGATGTGCACGCGATAAGTATTTAAATTCCTTTTAAATTTCACAAATCTCTAAATATCTTTGAATATCTCTTTAATCATTATCGTAAAAATTATAATTATTGAATATACTCTCATTTATAAATTTTATTTATAATTGTATTTTGTAATTGTTCAATCTCTTTTTATAGTTACTAAAGTTTGACCTTTTTAATGTTTTAGTTAATGAAACATGTTCTGTTTTGTAGGTGATGTGTTGATATTGTTTCTTGACAAGCTGTTAATTTTATAGAAGCTGAAGACTACCTAAATTTAGATACAAGTAAGTTGTTTTTCATTTTTTATTGCTTTTTTTTGTTTGATATTCAATCATGTTTTAAATGAATCTAATTATTTAGTCCAGTGTTATTGTCTGGTGGTGATATTCAGGTTAGATTTTATTAAGTTAAATTTACTTTTAAAGAATCTTTCAAATTTACTTCTTAAAAAAATTAACATTTGCTTTTTTTTTATTTAGTTCATAATTATTTAAATAGTAAAAAACAATATTTATTTGATTGTTATTTTAATTTTAGTGCCATAGCTTACATATATTTTAAGTTTTAAATTCGAATATATCTTTATCATAAGTTTTAAAGTTTGTATTTATTTTAATGTAATAAAGTTATACATTAACTTTTGTTGTTTAAATAAAATTGTTTATAAAATGTGTTTGATTTTTTAAGTTGTTGTGAAATTGCAGTTTGTATTTTTCTGTCCAATGACATGGATTTCAAAGTTAAGGGGCACAATAGTAAAATTCTAAATAAAGTCTTCCATATCTAGAATAGGCAATAAGATTTCCCCTCTATTTAGTAAATGGATTGAATTACCCTTACCAAAAGTGCAGTTTGAGAAGTTAGAGTGGGCCGAGGAAAATACATAACTACATCTACAAATACAAGAGGTATTTAAATGTATTTTCGTTTTATATGTATTTTTTTATTGATCTATCTTTTAAGTTTAGTTTGTAAATAAATTCTTTCAAAAATGCCTATAAAATTTTTAAATATTAATTAAAATATTTAAATATTCTTTCAAAAATACCAATTTTTTTTTCTTTCAATATTAATTTAGCTAAATTGATAGTTATATTTACAAAAACTTAGCTAAATTGAGTTATGTTTTTAATAGTAATTGAGTTATGTTTAAAATAATTAGTAATTGAGTTATGTCTAAAATAATTTAGAAAACTAAAGTTATGTTTAAAATAATTTAGAAAACTAACTATAAAAACTAGAAATTGAGTTATGTTTAAAATAATTTGGCTTAATTGAGTTATGTTTACAAAAAAAATTGTTGAAAGTTGTACATTTTATTTTTACACTAAACACCATCAAAATTTAAGTCAATAGAACATACAAAATATTAGAATGATTCAAGAGCTGCTGTGACAGTGTTTATGATTCTCCATGTCAAAATAATGCATTGTCATTGAAAATTTTTTAAACACTTTATTAATTTTCATAATCACTGGTTATCAAAGGTATTCATAGGTCTACTATTAAGTACTTGCAATAGGAAAGAACTTTAATGACCTTTAAAAACCTTAATGAACTTATTATAAAAGAAATGTTCTTTATCGATGTGTTCAAGAAATTGTTTTTAAATTAAAAGTTTTTAAATTAATTTTTTTTAATTAAAAGGATCATACTTAGGAAAAAATTAACATTTTATTAAATTCTTTTTTTTTTTTTTTTGTTCGATTTAATAACTTTACCTTCATTATCTTGTGAAGGTAGAGTTATTTGTTATGTTTTTATCTGCAAGTATTATGTATTAAAAACATTTTAAATTTAGTTTAATTTAGTTGTTATTCTATTTCTTTAGTTCTACTTTGGTGCTCCACAGACTATTAAATGTTTACTTTGTCTACTGTTAAAATATGGTTTTAACTTAGTAAGCTTTAACTATTTTATGTTGATCATTAGTTACACATAAAGTAATTTTTTTTCGTACAGATTTTGATTGTTTAATCAGTAACAATTCGTTTCGTTTAATTCGTTTGCAGTGTTATTTTACCTTTTTTACTCTTTTTCGTGTCATTATATAATTTAATTTTGTTTCATTTTAGACATCTTACAATGCTTTTTTAGCATTTTGCAGAACGAACAGAGGGCCCACATCTCACAAGGTGTGGGTTCAAATTTAGGCATCCTCCACCTTTTTATATATATATACATATGTTGAGTAGGAGAATGGGTAGTATATAAAAAAATGCTGCCTCATTAATTAGTATTTATGTAGTTGGTTATTCTACCAATTAAACCAAATATTAGTTTATCTAACAATCCTTGATTGATAATGCAAATTTACTTTTTCTTAAATCAGGGTGGCCACAGCTCCTCTAAAGTCCTCTTTTTCAAAAATCCTATATTATCCTCTAAAAAGTTAAAATGTGATCAAATCTCCTCCTTAACTCCTCTTTTTTATTTTTTCATTGTATGTTATATAATGTTAAAAATTAATCGTTAGCAAAACTGGTTAACGTCTTAAATGAGGATTAGGGTGTAAAAAATTAATTTTAGCAAATCCATGTCATCTAACGTTAAAAATAAGATTGTTAACCCCTGTCCAGACCCCAGTTATATGGAAACATGGGCGTTAAACCTATTTAAAAAATCCCCTAACATAGTCTCTTTTATTTTACATGTCCTGTTTTGAAATTTGAAAGAAAAAATGATTTTTATTTAAATTAACAGGGCAAGAGTCCTAATAAGCTGCAGATTTGAAAAAAAATTAGAAACTTATTAAAGAAAAAAATAACATCTGTCCCATCTTTTTTTTTTTTTTGTTTATGGAAATTTTTTGAAGTATTGAACATTTACGGTTATATCAAAACAAAGTTTTATATATTTATCTCTTTAAAAATTATTGAAATAAAGAGAAATTGTTTCGGTCGGTGTGGAATAGACATACCATGACCAGTATTAAACAGCTCAAGTCCGTTGTTCCACATATTTAAATCATCTCATGTTTTTAAAAATTATTTACAATAGAATTTTTTTTTTATAGCTTCAAAATGTAAACAATGAGTATAGTTTTTCTATTTTTGTATAGTTATTTTCTCAAATATATAGTTATTTTCTCAAATATATATCTTTTACTCAAATATATTGAAGTAAGGATTTAGTATAGAAAAGGTCGGTTTGTTTAATATTAGTTAAACGAAAATCATCATCCAAACAACTGAAGATCTCTTAAACTTTTTAAAAAATAAACTTAGTGTTGCGTAATCTGCGGGCAATTCCTTAGCGTTTTATAGTCTATAGCTTATAATGCTCTAAAATCTTCTTAGTTCTGCTATACTGTTATAAAATAATATTGCTATTGTAAAATAATAATAAACTATGATACTGTTATAAAATTTTTGCTGTAAATACAGAAAGAATGAAAAATTTTCAAAATTTATAAGGGGATGTTTTTAACTCCCGAAAACAACACTGGTGACAGTGCACTAAACCACTGGGCTATCAATGATATGCGTTTAGGAGGAAAACAAACCTAATTATAAATTTCTATATAAGCTCTAGGTATGCTGAAAAGGTGCGCATGTTAATTTTTTTGCTCTTTAGACAATTTTTTTAAATGAATTATTTTACGTAAAAATATTGAAGTAAACAAATAATAGGTATAGGTTTGATCGGTGTGGAATAGATAAGTAAAATCACCAAAAATCGGTTGCTGCACTTGTTTCACAATTGAGATACTGTGCTCACATAATTAGTTCTAATAAGCTGCAAATAGTCTAAAAAAATTTAATCTGAAACTTATAAAAGACAAAACAAAATACTACTACTCTAGATAGTACTGCTGTGGAGGCAGAAAAGCCAAAAATGCTAAAACATCATCTTCTTATTTCTGCCAAATCCAGTAATAAAAATAGATCAATACTCCCAAACCTCTGAAACTCTGCCATCCGGTCTTTTCCTATTCATTTCTCAGAGTTTCACTTAAAGTGTGATAGTAAGTTACATCATTTCGTTTAAAAGTTCACTTATAGCATTCTTCCATAAAAAAAATTAATCTTAAAGGAATCCCTAAGTGCTCCATATGATCTCATATGAAAGAGCATAAAAAAAAATATGTAAGTTTTTTTTCTTTTTCACTAAATTGTAATAATAAATGCATGCTAACAAAAAGCAGTTGCCGAAATCACTAAAAAACAACTCCATTTTGATTTTATTTTTTCACCATTGAAATTCGATTGTTAGTCGTTAAAAATCACGTTAGTACGTCACAACAACTTTAGAATATCTACTTCGATTTTCAAGTAAAAAAAAGTTGTGATTAAATAGTTAAGTTTTAATCAAGTTTTTTTAATTAGTTTTGCAAAAACAGTATAATAGCATTCGGTT